ATCCCTCATGAACATTGATGCAAAAATACTCAATAAAATACTGGCAAATCAGATCCAAGAACACATCAGAAACCTCATCCACCATGATCAAGTAGGTTGCATTCCAGGGATGCAGGGATGGTTCAACATACAAAAATCCATCAATGTGATCCACCATATAAACAAACTGAGAAACAAAAATCACATGATCATCTCACTAGATGCTGAAAAAGCCTTTAATAAAATCCAACACCCCTTCATGATAAAGGTCTTGGAGAGATCCGGGATAACAGGTACATACCTAAACATCATAAAAGCTATATATAGCAAACCAACAGCCAACATCACACTGAATGGAGAGGAACTCAAGGCAATTCCTCTAAGATCAGGAACAAGGCAAGGCTGTCCCCTCTCCCTATATCTCTTCAATATTGTACTGGAAGTTCTAGCTAGAGCAATAAGACAAAAAAAAAGGAGATCATGGGGTTACAAACTGGACAAGAAGAGGTAAAACTTTCACTATTTGCGGATGATATGATAGTTTACATAAGTGATCCAAAAAACTCTACCAGGGAACTCTTGCAGCTGATAAACACCTTCAGCAAGGTGCCAGGATACAAGATCAACTCAAGAAAATCAGTAGCCCTACTATATACAGATGATAAAAGGGCACAAAAATAGACAGGTAAACCAAGGGAATCAAATAGAAAACCCTGAGATTAATCCACAAACCTATGAACAGCTGATTTTCGACAAAGAAGCTAAAAATTATACATTGGAAAAAAGATAGCATTTTCAACAAATGGTGTTGGCATAACTGGATATTGGCATGTAGAAGACTACAGATAGTTCCATGTCTATCACCATGGACAAAACTTAAGTCTAAATGGATCAAAGACCTAAACATAAATCCAGCCACACTGAACCTCTTAGAAGAGAAAGTGGGAGGTACCCTCGAATGAATTGGTACAGGAGAACACTTCCTGAACATAACACCAGTAGCACAAACACTGAAATCGACAATTAATAAATGGGACCTCCTGAAAGTGAGAAGATACTGTAAGGCAAAGGACACAGTCAGCAGACAAAAAGGCACCCCACAGATTGGGAAAAGATATTCACTAACCCCACATCTGACAGAGAGCTGATATTCAAAATTTACAAAGAATTCAAGAAGCAAGTCTCCAAAACACCAAAGGATCCAATAAAAAAGTGGGGGACTGAACTAAATAGAGAATTATCAATTGAGGAGTATAAAATGGCTGAGAGACATTTAAGAAAGGGCTCAACATCACTAGCCATTAGGGAAATGCAAATCGAAACAACTCTGAGATATCATCTCACTCCTGTCAGAATGGCAAAAATCAAAAACACCAATGGCAGTTTGTGCTGGTGAGGATGTGGAGAATGGGGAACACTCCTCCACTGCTGGTGGGAGTGCCAACTAGTACAGCCACTATGGAAATCAGTATGGAGATTCCTCAGAAAAATGGGTCTGAGTCTACCACAAGACCCAGAAATTCCACTCTTAGCCATATACCCAAAAGATGCCCATTCACACAACAAGGATGTCTGTTTCACTATGTTCATAGCAACATTATATGTAATAGCTAGATCCTGGAAGCAACCTAGATGCCCCACAACTGAAAAGTGGATAGAGAAAATGTGGTACATTTACACAATGGAGTACTCAGTGGAGAAAATCAATGGAATCTTGAAATTTGCAGGCAAATGGATGGCACTATAGGAAACCATCCTGGGTGAGGTAACCCAGATACAGAAAGACAAACATGGTATGTACTCATTCATATATGGATTTTTGATATGGATCAGAGGAATGTCAGCCTACAATCCCAGTGCCAGTAAGTCTGGGAAATAATGAGGTTCCCATGAGAGATTCATGATACCCCAGAGAAGTGGAATGAGGCAAGATCTCCTGAGCAGATTGGGAACATTGGAGGAGGGGAGAGGGAACCAAGTAAAAGAGAGGGGGATAAGAGGAGGGGAGTAGAAGTCATGAGTGAGTCGAGGTAAGAATAGAGGAGAGCATGATGAGAGATACCATAATAGATCGAGTCATTATAGGCTTGAGGAGAGAGCTGACACTAGTGAGATCTCAAGAGCTCTACAAGGATAACACCAACTGGCAAACTATAGTGGAGAGATTACATTAATAGCCCCTCCTTGATGATAGGGGTGATGACTACCCTATATGCCATCCTAGAACCTTCATCCAGGGACTGAGGGAAGCAGAGACAGATACCCACAGCTAAACACTTAACTGAACTCCTGGAATCTAGTGACAAAGATGGAGGAGTGATGAGCAAAGGGGTCAAGACCATGATGATGAAACCCACAAAGACAGCTGACTGGATAAGGGGGAACTCTTGAATCCTAGACTGATGGATGAGAGGCCAACAGGGGACTGATCCAGACTCCATTAATATAGAGCCAAGGAGGAGGCCACAGAAATCACTGCGGCCTTGGGTAGTAGATCAGTGTTTACCATAGTTTATGAATGAGCTTTGGGAGCCCATTCCAATAGAGGGATGCTCTCTCAGCCTGGACACATAGGGAAGGGCTAGGTCCTGCCCTGGATGAAATGACAGACATTAAAGATCCCCCCACAAGGAGGGCCTCAACCTCCCTGGGGAATGATGTGGGGATTGGATGAGGGGTTGGGGAGCTGGTGCAGGGACAAGGGAGGAGGGGTGGGTGAGAGAGCTGGGACTGACATGTGAAACATTCATGTTTCTAATTTAAATAAAAACATATATTGAGAAAAATAAATAAATAAAAAAGAAGATAAAAATAACATAACTTTAAAAGTTCCACACTCTTAGTAAATTGAAACACATTAAAAGTTTAGTCCCTTTAAAATATCCAGTCTCTTTAAAAATCCAAAATCCCTTTTAAAGGTTCAAACTCTCTCAACTGTGGACTCCTAAAAATTCAAAATTAGATTTAATACTTTCTTACTTCAAGAGGGAAAAAACCAGGGCACAGTCACAACCTGTGCAAGGCAAAACCAAACACCAAAAGTGTAAATAACTCAATGTCCAATTATTTGGGATTCGCTCATGATCTTCCTGGCACTTCCAAGGGACTTGAGTCACCTCTCCAGTTCTGCCCTCTGCAGCACACACAGCTTGTCCTCCAGGCCTTGGCAGACTCCACACCACTGCTGCTACTGTTCTTGTTGGTCATCCCATGACACTGGCATCTCTAAAATGCTGGGGTCTTCTGCTGCAACCAGGCTGCAATTTCTGTCACCAATACCCTCTCATGGGTTTTCCTCCTGGTGCCAAGACTCAACTTTTCTCCATGACCCCTTCAGTTCTGGGGCCTCATCTGCTACTGAGGTCCACCTTCTCCAATGGTATATCCTGGCTTCTCACGCATGAGGCTCAGCTGCTTTTCAGGGCCCCTCATACCTTCAAAACCAGGACCACCTGAGTGACTCTTCTACTATCGAGTGGCTGCCAACACAACCTGCAACTTTGGCCACCTCTAAACACAGCTTGCATAGGCTGACTCTGAGGAGACACTACCCAGAAGATTTCACTTCAGAGATGCTGGTCTCTTCTTAACCACAGATTCTGCAGCCCTGCTGACCGACATCCATTATCCCAGCAAATATCTCTTTAGTCTCTTATTAATCATAGATGATTCTTCAGCTCCAGCTGACCAGACACCATAGATTGCTCACACAAATGGCCAGTAGAGTCCTTTCTTCCCTTTGAAACTTCATAAGTCAGGCCTATCATCTGCGTCACTTTCAACATGCTTATCTTCCAAGCTCCTTTAGAACATCCCACTGAGCTGTCAATACCCAGTGACTTTTCTAACCCAAAGTTGCAAAGTCCTTCCACAATCCTCTCCCAAATATCATCAAATCCATTGTAGCAATAGCCTATCATTCTGGTCCCAATCTGTCTTGGTTGCTATTGCTGTGATGAAAGATCATGACCAAAAACAAATTGGGGAGGGAAGGGTTTATTTGGCTTATGCTTCCATAGCACTGCTCATCATCAAAGGAAGGCAGGACAGGAACTCAAACAGGGTAGGAACCCAGAGGCAGGAACTGATGTGGAGGCCATGGAGGAGTGCTGCTTACTGGCTTCCTCCTAAAGCTAGCTCAGCCTGCTTTCTTATAGAACTTGGAAACAACAGTCCAGGGATGGAACCACCAAAAATCAGCTGCCACCCCATCAATCACTAATTAAGAAAATGTCCAACAGGCTTTATTATGGAGTTCAATCTTTTTTTTTTTTGGTTTTACAAGACAGGGTTGCTCTGTATGTTTTGGAGGCTGTCGGCCCAGCCAGGCCTCTAACTCACAGAGATCTGCCTGCCTCTGCCTCCTGAGTGCTGGGATTAAAGGTGTGTGCCACCACCGCCCAGCTGGAGTTCAATCTTATGGAGACATTTTCTTAACTGAGGTTCCCTTTTCTCCAGTTATTCTAGCTTATGTAAAGTTGACATAAAAGTAGCCAACACAACCAGGAATATACGTGCCTATAAAAACACTCTGGTACCCATAGTGTTCCATTCTGCATGATCTGTTGGAGTCTCGTTTTGGGGAATTGAGTGCACCTGTGTTCTATTGTTGCATAAAATTAGGCAACCACTAGAACTTGACTACTAGTTGTATTGGGGGACATCTACCCAGAAGAACACCCCTAGGAACCTCCACTGAGTCAGCCATTACTATTTCATACAAACCATAACAGATGCCATTACTCCATGTAAAACTTCATAGCTAACAAAGTCAAACAAGAGCAAAACTGACCCTCCTTCAGTGTGTGGTCCTATGTGAGTACAAGAATACCAGGAGGTAATATTCTAAGCCCACAACATTTAGATGTTTAGAGATGAGGCTTCATGGCATCCATTCATAAAGACATGCTAAATAGAGTAATTAGTTCTACAATTGCCTTTAACAAAATTGAACTGACTAATAACCATAGTAAATAACTTACTACAGCTCTATCAGATTCAACATTTAAGAAGCAACTTACATCTAAAGAATCTTCCTTCAATAGGATGAGGGCCATATTCTGTGACACCAACCGACAGGAATACCCTGAAATGGAGAAGGGACAGCATGTGAATGTCATTCTTCCTGAGAATTCCTGGTTCAATGGCTGAGACAACCACTCTTTTTTTGGAAGATTTATTAATTTTTTACTTGTGTATGTGTGAGTATATGCACACACGTGTGTGAAGTACTCAATCTATGCACTTGAGCGAAAGTCAGAAAAGGGTGTCTGGGGTCCTCCTTTACCACACTCTCCCCATTTCATGGAGACAGGGTCTTCCCCTGAACAAAGAGCCCATGTTTTCTCAGTCAGGCTAGAAGCCAATAAGCCCCAGCCATTCTCCTATCTCCACACCACTTGTAGCCAAGGTTACACGTCTATGCAGAGACCTATCTTAACAACCTCCCCACTCATGTCTTCCTTGTTACTATTGACTAGAGGACGAGGGGCATAAGCCTAAACTCACTTTGACCTTGCAAATAGCTTGAAGAGAAAAAAACTGATAAGGTCTTTACAACTAATGGCTAAAATAAGTACTTGTCAATTTTCTATGGATTTTTTTCTTTATTCTTGTATAACATTAAGATAAACCTTGTTTTGCCTAAAATAACAGCAGACAGATTACAGAGGAAATGAATGGAATCTATGCTCCTAGTTAGCATGGCTATTGCACAAGCAAGTTCACCTTTTTCTTTTTAAACCTAGCAATTCTCAAAAGTTTTAAGGAATGCCAAGTATACCAAGGGAACCACTTTCCTGCCAAAAGAGCAACACAATCTCCATTTAAAGAAGGAAACCTAAATTTAAGTTAATACAAAGGTTTAAAACAAAAGTATTTTCAATTAGAATCAACTATTTCAATCTTGTTCTTAAGTCAAACTATCTCTCACTAAGTACATTTGATAAAGTTTCAAGAACTGTATAATTTTATATTTATCTAAAATGAATGTATATGAAATACATCAAAGCATATGATGTATATTAAAATGAAAGTATGCCTGTTGCACTAGTAATATACTCCCACAAGAGTCATAGACTATCTAACAAAAACTCCAGTACCATGCATGAGAAAGCACATTTGAGTTATTGGACAGGCAGGGCCAAGTGGCTCCCAAAACAATATAAGCTATTGCCGTTGCCCTTGGTTGCTTCTCAGAGGTTGAAGGCAACTAAGCTCCTATTGCTGAAGACCATATACTTCCAACCCGAGACTCAGAAGAGTCAAGCTGGATCTAACCTGAATGCCTCCTTCCTGCAGTCTAGCTTTCCTAGTATCAGAAAATACTATGAAAGCTCCCATGTAAGGGAAACAATCAATAGTCCTATCTATCTGTGGGGCCAATGAACTGTAACAATGATCAGAATGGCAAAATATCCTTAAAGGTGCAATAGTGGCATCTCTGCAGTAACCAACAGCTGTCTAATTGGACTTAAGGTCTACCCGATAGGAGGGAAATCATGCCAGGTAAAAGAAACCGCTAAATACCTGGTCATGACACTTAGGAAAAAAAATACTACCCTTGACAGACACAAAGAAGAACTCAACACAGACAGAAGATAAAACCAAGAAAATCTGAGGATTTGCTTTTTGTTTTTTCATAAAATATTGTCACTTGTGTGTTTGAAATGTACACCCTAACCTTCACTCAGGATTGTCATTTGCTTAAAAGAAACAGTTGGTATAAAGTGTCTCAGACAACAAATTATAAAGAAAAAGTAATGGATTTTAAAGAAAATATTATTGTTGAAACCATATCCAAAAAGAGTATTAATTACACAAACAAGTAACTCGGAGCTTCTCAAGGTAACATTAAAGACCAAACTAGCGTAAAGTGAGCATCATATCCCAAGTGCTGGAGACTAGACATGTTTCAGATTTTGTAGTTTTTTTAAGTATGTGTACTTAAGATTTTAAACTTTAGGATTAGGGTTGCTTAAGGTGTGCTGGTCTCAGGCTCTTGACTTCTGGTTCAGGACCTATTTAAATAGATTCCAGAGTTCTCTGAAAACCTGCCTTGTGAAATTGGAGGTAGAGAATGTAGGACATGGAGCTGTCTCACTATTTACACTATAACAACTTGACATCAAGGTGCTTAGAGCTTTGGATGTTCATGCTTTGATTGGCAGCATTCTCTTAGTGGAACACATTAGAAGAGCTCATTTATAGATTTGGTAACATCTGTTTCATTTGGGATTGCTGGTTTATTTCTTTCCATCTTACCTTTATTTATTCTTATTTTTATTTTTTTCACTTTGCATTTTTTCCATTTTAAATTTAAATTAGAAACAACCTTGTTTTACATATCAATCCCAGTTCCCTATCCCTCTACTCCTGGCCTGCCCACCACCAACTCCCTATCCAATCCCCTTTCTGCTCCCCAGGGAGGGTGAGGCCTTCCATGGGGGAATTTCAAAGTCTGTCACAGCATTTGCAGCAGGACTTAGCCCCTCCCTCATGTGTCTAGGCTGAGAGAGTATCCCTCTATGTGGATTGGGCCCCCAAAGTCTATTCATATACTAGGGATAAATACTGATCCACTACCAGAAGCCCCATAGATTAGCCAGACCTCCCGAATGAAATCCTCGTTCCGTGGGTCTGGAACAGTTCTATGCTAGTTTCCCAGCTATCAATCTGGGGTCTATGAGCAACCCTTTATTCATGTCAGCTGTTTCTGTGGGTTTCTCTAGCCTGGTCTTAACCCCTTTGCTCATCACTCCTCCCTCTCTGCAACTGGATTCCAGAGCTCAGCTCAGTGTTTAGTTGTGGGTGTCTGCTTCTGCTTCCATCAATTACTGGAAGAAGGCTCTAGGATGGCAATTAAGGTCGTCATCAATCTCAATATCAGAGAAGGGCATTTAAGGTAGCCTCTTGACTATTGCTTAGATTGTTAGTTGGGGGTCAACTATGTAGATCTCTGGACATTTCCCTAGTACTAGATTTCTCTTTAAATCTGTAGTAGCTCCCTCCTATTATGGTATCTCTTTTCTTGCTCTCCTCTGTTCTTCCCCTGATACACACTTCCTGCTCTCTCCTGTCCTCCTCTCCCCTCCTCTTCTCCCCTTCTCTTTCTTCTAACTCTCTCTCCCCTCCCCCCATGCTCCCAATTATCTCAGGAGATCTTGTCCCTTTCCTCTTCTCCAGGGGACCATGTATGACTGTCTCTCTTAGGGTCCTCCTTGTTTTCTAGCTTCTCTGGTGGTGTAGATTGTAGGCCGGTACTCCTTTGTTTTATGTCTAAAATCCATATATGAGAGTACATACCATTTTTGTCTTTTTGTGACTGGGTTACCTCACTCAGGATGGTTTCCTCTAGCTCCATTCATTTTCCTGTGAATTTCAAGATTCCATAGTTTTTCCACTACGTAGTTACTCCATTGGGTAAATGTACCACATTTTCTCTATCCACTCTTCGGTTGAGGGGCATCTAGGTTGCTTCCAGGCTCTAGCTATTACAAATAATGCTGCTATCAACATAGATGAACAGATGTCCTTGTTGTATGAATGTGCATCTTTGGATATATGCCTAAGAGTGGAATTGCTGGATCTTGTGGTAGACTGATTCCCATTTTCCTAAAGAACCACCATACTGATTTCCAAAGTGGCTGTATGAGTTTGTACTCCCACCAGCAGTGAAGGAGTGTTCCCCTTTCTCCACATCATCTTCAGCATAAACTGTCATTGGCGTTTTTGATTTTCGCTATTCTGACAGGATTGAGATGGTATCTCAGAGTTGTTTTAATTTGCATTTCCCTGATGGCTAAGGATGTTGAACACTTTCTTAAGTGTCTCTCAGCCATTTTGGATTTCTCTATTGAGAATTCTCTATTTAATTCTGTACACCACTTTTTAATCAGATTATTTGGTGTTTTGGTGACTAGCTTCTTGAGTTCTTTGTAAATTTTGGAGATCAGCTCTCTGTCAGATGTGGAATTGGTAAATATCTTTTCCCATTCTGTGGGTTGCCATTTTGTTTTGTTGGCTGTGTCCTTTGACTTACAGAAGCTTCTCAGTTTCAGGAGGTCCCACTTTTAATTGTCAATCTCAGTGTCTGTGCTACTGGTGTTATGTTCAGGAAGTGTTCTTCTGTACCAATTCATTCGAGGGTAACACCTACCTTCTCTTCTAAGAGGATCAGTATGGCTGGATTAATGTTGGGGTCTTTGATCAATTTGGACTTAAGTTTTGTACATGGTGACAGATATGGATCTATCTGCAGTCTTCTACATGCCAGCATCCAGTTATGCCAGAACCATTTGTTGACGATACTTTCTTTTTTTCCATTGTATAATTTTAGCATCTTTGTAAAAAAATCAGGTGTTCATAGGTATATGGGTTAATATCAGGGTGCTCAATTCAATTCCATTGATCTGTCTATTTTGTGCCAATACCAAGCTGTTTTCAGGACTATAATTCTATAATAGAGCTTGAAGTCAGGGATGGTGATTCCCCTGGACATTCCTTTATTGTACAGGGTTGTTTTAGCTATCCTGGGTCTTTTGCTTTTCCACATAAAGTTGAGAATTGTTCTTTCAAGGTCTGTGAAGAATTGTGCTGGGATTTTGATAGGGATTGCATTGAATTTGTATATTGCTTTTGGCAAGATTGTCATTCTTACGCTGTTGATCCTACCTATCCAAGAGCATGAGAGATCTTTCCATTTTTCTGGTATCTTCTTTAATTTCTTTCTTCAATGACTCAAAGTTCTTGTTATGCAGGTCTTTCATTTCTTTGGTTAGCATTACCCTAAGATATTTTATGTTGTTTGTGGCAATTGTAAAGGGTGGTGTTTCTCAGATTTCCTTCTCAGCCCATTTATTGCCTGTATATAGTAGAGATACTGGTTTTTTTTTAATTGATCTTGTATCCTGCAACTTTTCTGAAGGTGTTTATCAGCTGCAGGATTTCCCTGGTAGAGTTTTTGGGTAGAGTTTTTGGGTCACTTATGCAAGCTATCATATCATCTGCAAATAGTGAAAGTTTGACTTTTCTTTTCCAATTTGTATCCCCTTGATTTCCTTTTGTTTTCTTATTGCTCTAGCTAGG